TTTTCATAACCATAAAATCATTAGACTTACAAAGTTTTATTTAGTTGAAAAATGTCCTTTAATTTTGTAATTCAGTATCAAATAGGATATGTTGACCTCGTTTTTGGTTCTGTTGACGTAGACAACAGATACCAAGTTCACTTGTATCCTCGTAGCTAATTTCAACATGTGTAGACAGATTACTAGTCGACAATATCTCGGATTTGAATGTGTAAGAAGCTTGATAATACGAGACAAATATGTTCGGCCCCCGACAAGATATATGAACGGAATTATACGATAAGGAATGATCGAACAAACAATAGATAAAAAAACGAATGTTCGATTCGCACAATACGTGAAAAGATTTAAATCAAGATAAGAAGCTTATAGCTTTGAATTGGTAAAGTTGCATTAGCCCTTTATGACACAAAGATGGGGGTCTTTATAGCGTTGCTGAAATCGTGTCCATTGGATGAGGGAGCACGTGTCTCCATCTCCTTAAATGGAGCACCATATCTTAGGCATCAATTTGATCTCACTAGCTTGTGTCGCATTTAATGCTCTTAAATGGAGCAGTCACCTTATAACTCATGCTGATAAGATATTGAAATATCACTTATTATAGAAGTCAAATCAATCATTTTAACAAGATTTCACGAATTTAGGATCTTTAACTGGAGGTCATCACTTGTCACGGAAGAGCTTCAGATTCAACCCAGAGTCTCACCACTTCATCAAAGGGCTATGTCGAAAGGCTTCACTGCGAGGGCTTTGGAATTTAAGGCTTCTGTGCTCTAGATTTAGAGGACTTTTGGCAAAGGGCTTCGATAGGATGTCCGCGTAGGATGCCTGGTGGCGAAGCGCATCATTATAAGTCATAAAATATATGTAATATTTTCTTTAATTTAGTAATACAACAATTAATAATACACATGTCAATTAAATATTAAGATAAAATACTAAATTTTACTATTTCGGAAGTAATAGAAATTTTCTCAAACAGAAAAAATTTATAGTCGTTGGGAGTGATGATTTTTCGTACTTCGGGAGTATTATAAATTTTTCTTGAATAAATTAATTGAATGAAATTACTTATTGAGTCAAAAAACAAAAAAAAAAAACAAAAAAAAAAGAAAAAAGAAGAAGATTATCATGTAATTCGAGAATAAAATGTTAGTAATGCATCAATTTAGTCAAAAGAAATTGAGTTCCATTATCCGGAACTATTATAAATTTTTTCGAATGAATGAATCGAATAACATTAATTATCAAGTCATTAAGTAAGAAGAATATCGTATAATCCAGCATTGAAGTTAGTAACGCATCAATTTAGTCAAAGGAAGATTGAAAATTTATACAGTTGAACGATTTAGGGGGTGTTCTCTTTGTGTTTCAGTTTTGTGTTTTGAGTTTTGAATTCATTTGAGTTTTGTATTTTGAGTTTTTGTTTTGAAATTGTTGAAAATGCGTTCTTTTTGTTAGTTTCTCAAAACAAAAAAAAAAAATTTTTTAAAATTTTGAGAATCACCACAACACCACCTCAAAACACCAAAAAAAGAAAAAAAATTAATTTTTATTTTTTTTTTTGAAATTTGTGTTTCAGTTTTGTGTTTTGAGTTTTGAATTCATTTGAGTTTTGTATTTTGAGTTTTTGTTTTGAAATTGTTGAAAATGCGTTCTTTTTGTTAGTTTCTCAAAACAAAAAAAAAAAATTTTTTAAAATTTTGAGAATCACCACAACACC